TTTAAATTTAAAAGCAGCCAAAAAAGCCCCAATCCCTAACAATATTTTAAATCAAAAAATAGATTTGGATGAGAGACTCATATACTAAATATCAGAAGCTCATCTTTAAGGTTAATCTTTAAACAAGTTAGGCTACCAATATTAGTTTCATGTCTTGCCTACGAAAAATAAGTTCTGAAAGTATGAGAATACAAGTTGGAATTTAGCCCAGTGTTGTATTTTTGATGAAATTCATCAAAATTAATAATAAAATGTATGCAATAAAAAGTTTAAATTTAAGTGTATAACTTAAATTTTTCAGTTAGCAAATTGACAGCATAATTTTCAAGGACTGCACATTCAGCAATTAATTTACAGCTTCAAAGACAATCAAATTCAATACACAAAATCATTTGGTTTTTATCATTTCCTTTCTGTTGTTTTCATTCATTTGCCAAAATGAGAAACATCTTTTCTTCTTTTTTGATTTATTTCACATGCAGTAAAAATAGAGTCAATAATTTAAGAAGAGAGATTTTAAATTCCTTTTAAAAATAATATAAATTAATAATTAATCATGGCTAAACTTTAATATGTTAAGATAGTATCCTATACATGGTTCTATCATAGAACTAAAATATAATTTATAATTATATTTCATCGTACGATGATTTAGCCAGCTTAGTTTGATTTTAGTTGTTTTAAACTCTATACAGATCCAATTTTTGAAGTTTGGTAGTCTTCAATAGAAACACATTCAAAGCAAAGGAAAAGAAAGAAAAAGGTTGAAGCATAACAAATCAGTAGAGATTACAAAATCTTTTTAAAGAGCAAATAACTTGCCCTTTTTTTATGAACAACAGTGAGTGCAACAACTTTTCCCTGATTGGAAACGTAGTTATAATACAGTGGTTTACACAATTGATTAGTCATATACACACTTCTCTAGTCATTGCCAGTGACAAGACCTATTTTGTCAAAATATCCAGTATGCAAGGATGTAGATTCATGGCATTCTCAAGAGCATTAGTGCAAAATTGAATGCAATCAGTTGAAATTCAAATTAGATTTGATGATTTAGCTTTCTGTGATCATAACAACAGCACTTTCAGCCTACACAAAAATCTCAACTTATGATTAAACTTGATCTTAATACTTTACAAAATTTAGATTTCATTAAGATCAGTTCAGATATTTTATGCCATTTTAGCTGCTAGCAATATCATCTTGTGCTAATGGAATTTAGAAAGGCTTGAACCTAAAAGTTTTCCTATGCTCTGTTCTTTTATTACTTGTCTTTTCCTTAGTTTTTGTTGGCAACAAGAGGAAGCTTTTACTCTCTATAATTACTCTCTAGGAAATAGCAGTAAAAATAGGATGTTATATCCATTATCAGTTATGACAGGATAATATTTTAAAAGTGTAGACCATGATTCTGATATTAAATCTTTTAAATGAATGAAATAAGAAACCTGTAGAAATTCCAGAGGTGATTACTTAAATGAGTAATTAAAGTAAATTTCACACATTTGTAAAAGCATTTCTCTGAAAAAGATTTTACAAGTACAAGACTTCAGAGAGCCAATATTTCAGTTCTCTTTTTTATGTAAGATTCTGAAAAAGCACTTAAAAAAAATTAAAAAAATTTTTTTTTTTAAATAAAAAAAATAATAAAAAATAGGAAATATAATTTAAAAAGGAAAACAGAAAATATAATAAATAAACGTTATTAAAAAACAAAAAATATAATTTAACAAAATAGAAAATAGAATTAAAAAACAAAAAGTAATAAAAAGGAAATATAATTTGAAATAAATAATAAAAACAAAAAATACAATTAAAAAAATGGAAAATGTAATTTAAAGAAACAGAAACAAAAAATATAATAAAAACAAAATATAATTAAAAAAACAAATTATAATTTAAAAAAAGCAAAAAGGAAAAACAGAAAAGTCCATTTTTAAATTGAAATTGTAAATTTTTTTTATATGAGAAATTATAAAACAATTATTTTTTAAATGTGTACACTAACAAAATTGCAGATAATGTTACCAAATTAGGGGATGAAAATTTAATGTATCAGCTCTACAACAGTCAAGTTATGATAAATGTGACATCCCTTGAAACAGTAACATTTATTAAAAGAGAAAAGAATGGTAGGAAAAACTTGTGAATGGCTTCTTTCATGCTAGTATCATACATGACCCATTATACCAACTGACTACTTCAAGGTATTTCAACTGGTTTAGCTTTTAGGACAGCAATTTAGGAATGAAATACACTACAGTAGTAATGGTTTGAGAGACTAGCTTGCTAACCACTGTTCTACAGCAAAGCGTCCTTATCTGCTAAGGTTAGTTAATCAGTGTGTCATTTTGGACATCTTAGATTAATTTAGATTTCATTTTCATTCTCAACTTTGGAGCAGGTCTGTCTTGGAAAAAAAAATAGAAAGAAAAATATTATAAATATTTTTCTTTCCATCCAATAAAATCAATCAAATCACCTGGTGATATAATTTCTCAGAATGGAAACAGGACATTTGTAATAGGAAAGGAATTTAACTTGTTAACATGACAGGTATCAGTGAAGTTCCTTATATAAATGTTATCATTGTTTATATCTAGAGGATGATTTTCTTTTTGCACATTAAGGTTTCTTTTTTTTTACTTGTTAATTTATCTAAACCATTTGGAACAAGGATATTTGATAAACTATTTTGCCAGACATTCATTGATTTCACTGCCTTGATCTGCATTTATGAATTGTCTTGAATTCCTGTCAGATTGACTACGAGAATAAGAAGAAGCAAGACAAAGAAATTTGTTGGGCTAAAATCTCATCAATCATTCCCAAATGGTTACAGTTGTCTGGCAGTCAAGACAAGAAAAAGATTGAGGAATCACTTAGACAGCCAAGAGAAAATAAAATTCTGGTTTTATTAGCTGAAAAGAAAGGCATGAGTACCAAAGTTCCCTGCCTCTGGTCATTTTTTATATATTCTTGTTGCAGAAGGGCATTAGGAATAGTGAATATCTTTTTGAACAAGTCTTATTTTATAGAATCCCAACCCCTAAACACCCCAAATAAAGGGCATTATATATACTGTTACACTAAGAGAAGAAACTTAAAAAAAATCATGTATAATCATTACTATTTATTTAATAATTATATTTCATTATATATTATTAAATATTATTATTTATTTAATAATTATATTTTAGTTAATTTGTGGCATAATGATAGTGGTAAACCATTATGAATTGACATTGTGGACCAGATCCGGCCTGCGGGTCATTGTTTGGTGTATAGTATCAACACATGGTTTAAACTTTTACTTTTGTATTTAAAATATTTTATAGCTGATATCATCATCATCAGGTCAAGAATTCTTCCAGATAGCATCTAGAGTCATCTACAAGTTGGTCAATGTAGTTGTGATGAGGTCTTTCAATCAATCTTTTGCCATGCATTGGGTACCATAGGAGGGTGTCACTCACAAGTTCTAACTTACTTCTACAGCTAACCGAAGCCTTCTCTCTCTTAGCGAAACTGAGATAGGAGGAAGGTGTCCATACAGGTGTTTCTTTACTGGACACTTCTTCCAACTGATGCCAAAGCAAGAAGTTTTCCTGTCACCCAGCAAAAACAATAACAGATGTAGATTACACAGATGACCATGCCTTGTTGTCAGACAGCTGATATAGAAATATTAAATATTAATCTTTAAAATAATTTTGCTAACCAGATAGGAGATATTTTAAGATTTTGTGAAACCAAGTTTGAATAAAGCAAAAGCCATTACAGAACCATAGATTGTAAGTTTTAAAAATAATTACAAATACATGCATAAAATAAAAGCTTTCTTAACATAAGTATTGGTAAGTCTAAAAAAAAAAAAAAAAAATGTCCTTATAACAAAAATAAGATCAAGGAATGGAGACAGAAGCAAGCCTTTCTTCTAACCATGATGAACCAGATCAAATTATTAAGATATCACTGATTCTTATTTAGTCAACTCCACATGGGAGAAGGATAAAGTCATCCGTACAAAGGTTTTAAATTTGGTAGTTGCAGACTAGTGCTCAACCAAATAAATGTATATCTTAATAATAATGTGAAGGAAAGAATTAATGTAGTTTCATGATATTATTTGTCATGAATATATATTCATACAATGGCATAGCCATTGTTAATTTTAAATATAAAATTTTGGATTTGAATTTTTCAAAATGAATACTCAATACAAAATATATTTTATCAGTGATCACAACAGTAGAGAGAAAAGAGTGAAAAGAGGTTAAAAATATTAAAAACAAAAAATATTGTAAAGACAGATTTATCGAATATTTTTTTCCTATATTTGTGTAAGAAATTTCAAAGTTTCTATTTGATAAACTGATTTTAAAAATGAGGCTGATTTTTCTTGCTGAAAATATTTAAGAAAATTATAGATATTTAAAAAGAAAAATATAAGAAAACCTACATAAAAATGTTTGAAATTATATAAATAAATATTTGGCATAATTCAGGAGACATGATACATGTATATTGAATATAACAGATGTCAAATCGTGTTATTAATACTTCATGTGATATCTTCATCATTATCGCTTGAAATAAAAAAAAAAAAAACAATATTTAAATGTCACCATTTTGCAAAAAGCACTTCTTTTAAAAGTTTTTGACAATATCAATAGTTTTGTCAACATCATAGAAAACAAATAAAAATAATAAAACACATATCCCTTTGAACTTTTCTAAGAAACACTTTTGGGGAAAAAAAAAGACCCTGAAAATCGGATTGCCATAAATAATAATCATGTCATATTCTGAAAATTGTGAGATATATTTTTTTAACCAACTTTTTTGTTTTGATTATTTGATATTTGTTTTCTACAACACTGAACACCCACTAATGCCATCAAATGTTTCCAAAACAAATCTCTTTGCAATGATAATGCTGATAAAAGAATTCTTCACCTTCCCCCAACCGAAAAGAAAACAGAAACAAATCACAGTCAATTTTTTTCAACCTTATTCTGAACGTCAGCTTCACTTAATTCTTTTTCATCATCTGCCGATCCTTTAGCATCATCTTCATCAAAACTATCATCTCCAAATGTCTCTTCTTCATCCCCAAACGTCTGAATATTCAAGTTGAGCTGTTCTTTGCATCGGGCTGAAGCCATAGCTGCAATGTTACGGGTTAATGAAAGCCCTGGACTCCCACTGTTTGCTGCCCAACGTTCTTGCAGATCCATAAGGTTAGTACCTTGCAAGGAACGTTTTGGTAGGGGGCTGCTGTTGCTGTCATCATCATTGTTGGTAGTGTGCAAGAAAAAGCCACTACTCTGTGTAGATGAGGTGGAATCAGTATTTGGAAGAGAGGTGCTGATGGAGGCATTGTTGTTAATGTGGTTGCTATTAGCACGGTGGGTAGGAGTCAAAGAGGGGCTTCTGGAATTGGTCCTAGAAGAATTTTCTTTTTCTGGGTGGAGGATAAAGCTGAAACTGAAAGATTGATCTGAAGGAATCTGGCTGCTATCATTAGACAATTTGAATTCATTCTGCTTTGAAAGTGGGTGACTGCTGTTGTTTTCCTGATCTGTGCTGCTATTGTTGAGAGATGCCAGACTCTTATCGGACTCGCTAATGGAATTTGTTTGGTCACTCTTGGACTTTTCCTGCAGAGAATCTGTTTTCATGCTTTCCGTATCAGTTGTATCACTTGCTGGTGAGAAGAGTAAATTTCGCAGATGCAGATCACTGAGACGATCTGATTCGACACGATCCACAGACTGATGAAGAAAAAATGGTGTCGTTTCTTGTTGCTCTCCTTCTGGATTCAAAGACAGACTTTTGCTCCAAGAAATTTTATTCACACTGGTATCTTCAGCATTGCTAAACTCTTTCAGTTTGCTAGTTGAAAATTCATCATCAGAGACCAAAAGGTCTTCATCAATCAAATCTTCATTTAGATTACCCGATTGCTGCATTGGATCAACATCTAAAAGATCAATATAAAAATATATTGGATCAATACATTAAGAAAACTCATTATATGCTTACATCAATCACTAAAGAAATATTAACAAACTAATATTTGATGTACCATGGGACAGGGTTCATAAAACAAATATGTCAATGTTTTCATTTATATTAATGATTACATAAGAGTGGGTTGGGCTGATAACTTTTCAACACCCCTGGTATATAGAGGGACACAAATTCAAAAAGTTGTTGCATAAGAGTAAGTGTCGTTATCAACACATTGGTTTGAAACTAGATCGCCAGTGAGTAACACAGGCGATTCCATTATTAAGTAGAGCATGTGATCATAAAGGAAGTGAATAAATAGGAAGTAGCGAGATGACTATATGATCACTGTTCACTCTTCTTGTCTATCCACTATTGCTATATGTTCACTCTCTCTACGGATTACGATTCTCTTCTGCTCAATATATTATTTGGCAATTACTACTTGAAAAGTATTACTAGTGCAGATATTATTGGAAGGCATTACTACTAGTACCAGCATCTATGAAATTTTGAATATAACAAGCATTTTTGGAAGTGATAATGAGCTTTCACTTGACATAGCAAAAGTGACAGGTGAAGCAGTCCAACATCACTAAAAAAGTATATATAGCAAATCACTGCAAATTGTTCTAATACAAGCTGATCATACAACAAGTTATCAACACTTCCATTCACTTTCATTGATTATATATTAAGATGCATGTGCAGTTGGTTAGCTGCTCGGAATGAGAAATCAGTGAACCAAGTTCGAATTTCAGTAAAATTTGTTACATTCACTCTTAGGAAAGCTATGTAATCATTTCTTCTTTTCCCAGTAATGGGTTAAATAGTAAGACAGACCGAGCCCTTCAGCCTTGATTGGCAATCAGTCTAGGAGAATGACAACTCTGAATTAACACCTCTGTCTTGCTATGGATATCCCAGCTGCAATGCCTAGTATGTTAGGGCTGTGGCTCCATACTCCACAATTGGAGTGTACAGGACTTGATAGAAAGGAAGAATTATTAGATTTATATAGTGACAAAATTTGTTTATTAATCTTATTGTGTTGAAATGTGTCACAAAAGAAAAAAAAAAAAATTTCGTCTCTCTCCTACTGTCATAGCGACAGGCACAGTCTCCACTTCCAAGACGAACTGCCCTCCTTCTCATTCCAGCCCTTTACATAGAGCTTGGTAACTTGCCCATGCAAAACACTAACAAGCCAGCTACCAATCACAGTTTCTGCACATGCCCATTTCCACTCGCTTTGGAGGTGTCAAGTTGACCGACCAACTCATTACACTTATAACTCTGGATGTCAGGAAATTTGATGTAGAATTTTAATTTAGGAAATTTCATATATTTGAGGAATAACTACAGAAAAGTTACTAACAAAAATAGTTATCCTTGATTTACCAATGCTTTAGAAAAGAAACTATAATTGTAGAGGTGAGGCAAGTCAGTTACTTTAGCCTAAAGATGCTTTGGAGAATCCACTATAACACAGTGATGATCTTATAGAAAATGAGACTAATGTAGCTAATCAAATAAATATGTTTACCTTTATTTGGGAGGTCTGATTGCAAACTATCACTTTGAAGACTATCAGTGTGCAGGCTGTCATCTGACTGTTCGGCATCACTCGATGAATGAGTAGAAGCACAAATTGTGTCATCTTTTTGCATTTGATTTCGCTTGACGGCAATTTCTTCACGACGTTCCATGTCAGTTGCTCGAACTGCAATCACATTTCGCAACTCAAACATCATCCGACGCGATTCTTCTCGATCCTGCTGTCTTTTTTCCTTGATTGGGGGGGGGAGAGAAAAAGTATCAGTATTGAATACATCACATTATACAATAAACATTTTTAAAATTCTAGATAAACAAAGTTACTAGATTCACTCAGTTAATATCATAGAGAAAACACATTTCTAAAAATTTCTGTTTCGTACAAAATAAGCAAGTAATTTATTTTTCAATAAATAGGACACACCCTAAACCTATCATTAAAGAGCATGAAAAATAAAGTCGAGGGATATTTTCAAGAGCTTTCTCCATATCACACAATGGGAGATTCAGAAATTTCAAACTTGTTCCCAAGGATGTTTGTTATTGTGTAGTATGAATTTGAGGGACAGATTTTGAGGCAGGTAGGGTCTTATATGCTGTAAAATACTTGTCAGCAGGAATCTATAAGTTGGTTGTATGGTTTTTAAAATCAGTGACTGATGTTTCTGTGTGTGCATATGTGTGTGTAAATACACAGAGAAATTTTATTTCAAATATACAAACACACAAACATATTTACTAAGTAATTCTGAATCTATTGAAGTTTGAGACTGGATCTCCCTTACCACTACACTATGTGTGGACATTTTGGTTTCATTTCACTATTTAAGAACAAGCCTACATGACTGAACAAATCATCAATGAAGAGCAACAAATGCTGAGTGTTCATTGTTGCTGAGATGAACAGTCTTTTATTCTACAACACATGTCAGGCTGTGTAATTCTTTCCAGTCATTATACATTTTATGGTGTGTAAGCCTTTCAGAGAAACAACCAGTGAATTAGAAAAAAAAATAATTGAAAATGTTAATTAGTTACAATAAAAAAAAAAAATATTAGGAATGGCTCCTCAGAAAATGATGGACAAATTGGGACTTAGTGGATCAAAGATCCCAATATTTATAGAAAAATTGGTGAAGATGATACTGTGGCTAGAAGGCATTAATTACAATTCTCAAATTCTATGGCTTCATAGATTGTAACCCAAAACCTCTTTCACTGGCCAAGATTAGTTGAAGACGGTCTCTGTCATCATCAGATGAGGTTATAATATTTCACCCAGCTAAAATCTTGATCACCGACTCAAAACAGTCAGTGACCAAGTTTTAGGGTGAATATGCTTTTCAATCTTCAGATAATTTTTAATGACAAGGTTGAAACTATGCTGGCTCATCCATTCTTAGGTAAAGCAAATGAGGTTGGAGAGTTACATAGTTTTGAATGGTTTAATACATTTACATTAATACAATGGCTTTCTATCTATTCCTGGTTGATTTCATTTATTGCAATTAATTAAGATTTTTAATTAGTTTTTAGTAATTTATCCCAGTTTGCATTCAGATTTAATCAACAATTTTTCCTTTATTTTTCTCCTGATCTCACAACCCAAGATGGATCTTACATCACTTACCATTTAATTCTGAAATAGAAGGATGTTTGAATGGATAGAATTGTCTTCCGAGGAACAGAATGGGTTAACTTTGGCTGTGTTGGTAGAACAACTTAGTGAACAATATGGGGATTTTGCTAGAACCATAAAGGCATGGCCTATTCACTGATTGGAATAGAGTAAAAGGATATAGTAATTCTCTGGCCCGTCCAACATCCAACAGCAAGGCCTTTGATTGGGAGGTTTTAAGGAGTATGGTACCACCTCTTAATTCCTGGTGTTCCAAGGTCCACCTTGACCTGGTAGGGCCTTTTAGGATCCCAGCTATGGGTAAATAGTTAAGCCCCAAACTGTGGTCAAAACACTATGAAAGTGTAAAAATAGGTTTTAATACTAGCAATACATTTTTGAAAAATAATATTACCAGCAATAAAAATCTTGTCGGCATTAAATAACCCATTGATGTTGATATGCCATAAAACAAAGCAAACACATTCTCTGGCCTGGTTTAGGTAACTTTCAGAGAGGCAACACAAAGAGAATATCACAGTACAAGTGCAGTTGGCAGAATCATATACAGATGCTTTCTAAAAAATTCTCAATAAGGGAAGATGTGGTGAAAGATATGCTGGATATTTTAGATATTGCATTCATTTTAGCAAAATGAAAAATGTTCAAGAGGTTAGGAAAAAATAGGTAATAGTTGGATTATGACTGTGATGATCGAACCAACAGGAAGAATGCAAGGAGAAGGAGGTAACAAAGGAAATGTGTCGGGAAGAGCTTGATGTGTTAGCTGTGTAAATGACACAAAAAGAGAGGAGGATTATCTGAAAGAAATGATTTGAGCGATAAGCCAGGATGCAGAATTATAGGAAACAGTGTCCATACTTAGATAAACTTGAAAAGTGATAGGCCCCCTACATATGAAAGAAAGAGTGCATCCAGGTCTTAGAATGGTTTAAACACTGAGTGGCTACACTCAATGAAATAAGAGGTAAGTGTAGGCCAAATGAATTTATTAATGACACAAAAGGAGTAGGAAGAAAGACATTTTAATTGTTGGGTATTTGCAAAGACTGGCCATTAAATGAAAAACTTGGAAAATTGTTGTTGAAAATGTTACAGAATAGGTCATATGAAAAGTGATTGTGGTTGTAAAAGTAGAAGAGAATGAAAAAAAAAAACAAAAAGTGTCAGATTGAATGATGATAGAATTACTTGCAGGCAGTGTAGCAAAAATTGAGCATTTGAAGATATCTTTGCATAATCTTCAAAAAGGACAAGAATTTAAAGTAGAGCTTTAATGATATCAATTGTTGTATTTAAGAATTAAACAGTTCAAGAGACAAAAATTAGATTTAAAATTTTGTATCTTTTAACAATGAACAACCGCTGCTAATTCTTACTTTTTTTTCTGGCTCATCAACTTTTATATTATTGTTATGTTGAAATCAAAATTTTTTTATACCTCCTCTGGAAATGCCAAAGAGATGTAGACAAGAATTATAAGAATGACAAAAATGAAATATACAAAAAAGAGTTTACAATTATTTCAAATATTCTACAGCTAAGTAACCTCAAGGTGACCATTATTCCTTTTGATTAAAATTATATTAGAAAATCAGTTTTCAGCATTTTAGACAAAAAAAAATCTTCAAACTTTATTATCAACCTGATGGCATGCAATCAGATATTTGTTTAATGTTTTAGTCTTTGAAATATAAATTTTTAGAAGGAATAAAAAATAAACACTTACCCTTTCTTCAGGTGAGAGATGAACATAATCACATTCAAATTCATCCTTGTCTGGATCAGTATAGTCTTCAAATACCTGTAATGGCATAAAAAGAGAAGAGACTGAATTAAATCAATAAAAGTATAAAAAATGATAAAGCAAACAGAAAATAATTATTGGTAAAAAAAGCTACTGACAGATAATATTTACCAATGTTTACACTAATTTATACTTAAACTATATTAGAGTGACCTCCAGTAGCAAGTCAAACCTTTTACTTCCACAATGCAATGATACTGTTAGGATCATTTAACTGAAGTCAAATATTCATTTTTTTTCTGTTTTTCTCCAAAGCCAATTATTTTAGAATAAATTTTCAAACATATTGAAACATGATTTCATTTAAGCTTAATTCAACAACTTTTAAAAAGACAGAAATATAATAAAAAAATTAGGTGAATTTCATTTTATGATTGTTTTGTTTCTTGTATTGTTGTTGCAATAGTTTTGAATATATAGAACAAGGAAATGAAATTTGTGGCATATTAATTGCTCCATAATGGTCAACCAAACAAAATTTTAAAAGTAGATTTTTCTGTCTTTACAGTGTGCCAAACATTATTAGCCACTTTTAATGTCTCCTATTTTTTAAATAAATTAATGAAGGAATTGACAAAAATATTTTCACAACTAATATGCTTGATATTTCATATATGGATAGAAGATTTTAGTAGGTTTAAATGCCATTTTTATGATGTGGCAATAGTTTTGTGAATTTTACTGGATTTTTTATGTCTCATATTATTAAACAGATAAGTAAAACGCTAAAAAAAAGGTAATTAAAGATTATAATTAGAAAACATGGTAAGTTTACAAAGGCAAATGTTTTAAACAAAACAATGATGACAAAGTTATAAAGACAATATTAATGTAAAATGAATACCTTTGTAGGCATTCTGAAAGTAAAGGAAGTATTTGTCACAGATTACTTCCACAACACAAAGAAAAATCACTGTAAGTACAGACTCAAATATCAGGTGCAGAAAGAAATGCTGAAAACTCGATTCGCCGGTACTATCTCAAATCACAATGCGTGTAACCAGTCAGAAAAATAACTCACTCTCTAACAAACACTGTAGCCAAAATGCCCGAATTTTCCGCTCTTGATTCGAGAACACCAACTGCTTTTATCGGCTGAACCTTTTTTCTTTTTTTTTTTCTCATTCGTCGACAGCTGGGAGAGGATGTTCAGTAATTTGCATATCAAAATACTTTTATAGCGACTCCTGCGACGGACTTGTTTTTTAATTCAAATATTCCATTTTCAGCATGTCATGCGGAATATGCACCCTTTTGTTTGGTAAGTAATTTTCTTTTTTGCCACATTTTCTGTTGTAGAATACACATGACGCACTGTCACTTGGTTTAACGAGGTAAGTCGCCGTTTTCTTCTATATAACCTCATGTTCTGAAACTAGTCTTTGTTGTTTATTTAGCATTGGTTGATGAATGAATAGTTGAAGAATCAGTCTTCATGTATTCTGTTGCCCATTTCATTCATTTTGCTTATTTTTTTAAAGATCACTCAGCGATATTTTATCACTTGCTTTAGGACCCAATTTCTTGGGTTTTCAACACTGAAAATTTCACAGCTTGACAAATATGGATATTTCTATAATCTCTCTCTTGATACAGGGCACAGATCAATGAGATAATGTCCTCAATTTGCACTCATCAGATTTGCATTGAAGTCATCCAGGACCTCCAAAGTTTGGAATGCTGTAACTTTTCTAGAAAGTGTACTAGACTAATTTCTAACTTATGGAAGCCACAAGAAAGTTGTAAGAATATATTTCTGTAGATTTAAAATATAATGTGCTTCTTTGTTGTTTTCCCATTAAGTCTTGAATTGTATTTCTAATCAAGCAAATTTATCAAGTTTAAACTATTTCCCTCTTCACTGGTATAAAATCATTTATCATTTCAAAGCTGCATTAATTCTATTGGATGAGAATAAAAGCAGTAAGAACAACCCTTACCTCATCCACAATAACTGGATTAATATCATCAGCAGAAATAACTTGCTTGGTTTTCTCTGCTTCCACTTCAGAAGTTGGTGTCAGTTTAGGTACTAAAAGGTTAAAAATAAACAAAATCAAAAAAATTAACATTTTTTTAAATTCAAATAAAAAGAAAGACAACTGAGAAATATTAGGTCTTTGTTCAGAATTATTCCCAAAATAATTCTGCATACTTATTTTTATATTTTTACTTTTATAATGCTGAAATGTTCTTGCTGTAAACAAGAAACTCTTCCAAAGAAAAAAGAACTTGGTGACTGAGTTAGATTTGGAGAACACACTGATTTTTTTTTATTTGATAAATAAATATCTTTTATACAAAAAGCAGAAAATAACTCAAACATTAAATTTTCAAAACTACTGAGAGTTGATTTAGACTAATATCTTCATCTAGTTTTGTTTTTACACAAAGTTACATCAGTAAAACAGACCCAGAAGGCCTTCTTCAGTAGTCTGTTGTATTCTGAAATATTGTCAAATTTTACTTTGAAGGATCCACTGGGCATGATGTATATGAAATGAGTAGTGCAGATCCACACTTAGATTTAACAAATGTTCAAAATATAACTCTTAAGGAAGGTTGAAGTGTACACAGAATGTTATGTAAAAATGAAACAATAAAGAACTAAATTTTCAGGAATTATTATGACATTAATGAAAATATAAATAATTTACACATTTAGTAGGAGTATTAATAATCAAGTAATGAACTACTCATATGGTGTGAATAGAGCCTCAATGAGGCTTGATAAACTGAGTCAAATGTAAAAAAGATCAGTTTTGCAGTTGATGGCTTGATTACTTTAAGTATTGGTATATATTATGAAAAAGAACTAATATGAAAGTAAATTAGTACTGAGAAATTGGATGGGTTGAGGGGGTTCTTAATGAACTGAACCTAAATATTAACTTGGAGATGACTTAATAACTTAATATAACTGGTACTATTTGATACTCACCAGCTACATTTGCAAAGTCAGGTAAAAATAATGACAAGTAATAAATTACTTCCTTAAATGATGTTAAAAATCATCTCTAAATCTCATGAGTTTAAGTTGTTTATATAAAGAATTAACCATTGGAATTATGTGGTTTCTTTGGCAAAATAATTTTGGAGAATTGGCTTTTCTGAAATCCAGTCAGTTTTCCAACAGTCCATGTGGCTTTGTTTGCATAAAGATATATTTGCCAGTGGCTTCATAAGAAGAAGAGTTTTTTGGAAATTGGGTTATCTAAACTTGGTCATGTGTAGAACTGGCCACCTGTTTCTGGACAAAGAAGACCTTTAGAGAGCTTAATAGTCGAATCTTACCAATACATTATTGGTGATAGTTGGCAGACTAAGTCTTATATATGAAAGTGCATAGCACACGTTGGGCAGTTCTGCAAAGATATAGGGAGTGACCAGCAAATGACCAGTAGTAATGGGGCAGAGATGTTAAGAGATAAAAACAGAACAAATGATAGCAGTAAGCTCAAGCCTTTCTCAGATGAATGATAAATCAACTCTGATTGCATTAGTAACAAAGACACATATGACAGTTTCCATAGCATTTTAATAAATGTAAACAAGCAATTCAAAGTTCAGATGATTGTGTATTACTGTCAAGTTTTGGGAAATGGAAGCCAGAAGATTGAAAAACCTGTGGGGTCACCAATAGCTAAAATTAAAATCTTATTTACATATTCTGGTCATTTTTGTTATTTTTTAAAAACTCCAATCAATTTTATGGATCCATCAACTTTTGTTTTGTGCAATGCATGGTTGGCAGTCAAGCTGGAGCTTGGGACTTCAGATCTTATCTAAACACAATGTAAGTGAAAAGGACTTCTGTCCAGGATATTGTCAGACCAGTGACCAGGATAACTCATCTCTGTCATAGCACTACAGTAACATAATGGTATGTAGAATAGTAACCAGTAATATCAAGTTAGTTAGGTAATGACCTCTATTATAATTATTGACCAAAGAATAAACCAGCTTCATTCAAACCTTTGTTTACTCATATTATAAATTAAACATTTAAAGACATCAGAAGAAATTTTAGAGATTGGCAATTCTATTCAGTTTTGTTTTTAATCTGAAGTAACTCTTCTATATTTGAGAATGTTTTAATGGATGGGAATTTTGAAGTACATGTCCTTCCAACATGTATTAAAATTAAGTGACTCTTGTGAGGAACAATTCAGATTTAAAACATCATCACTAACTTCAAATATCAATACATCTTTCTAAATCATCTTTCCAAATTTGTATTGATAGAATACTACAGCCAAATTATTTCATATACAGGGTGTGATGGGTAAATTGTCACCATTTTATATTTTTACTTTTTGTGCATGTACGTTGTTTGTTTTTGATTTTGTTGACTGAAATACATAGTAGCATCAGTTGGACATCATCTGTGGGGAAAAAAAGGACAATGATGAAACTCACTCTGCCAGAAATTTGAAAATGGTATGCTCTACTGCTTGGCATTTGTGCTGGAAGCTTCAATATAAATATTTCAGAGTGTTTGGGTGTCAATCTGAAGACAGTGCAGAGGATTTGGAAAGAGTTGGATGAATCTAATTGTGATTACAAAGGTACGGCATCTAATCATTCTGATAAGAACTCCCAAATTTATTGGTGAGGGCCTCCCACTCAACACAGAGACCTACATCAAGTGCCTTGAGGAAGTAGTGCTGACCTGGGTAAAGAGGGTGGCTGATGGAAACAGGACTCTACCCCATGCCACACAAGCAGGAGAACCAATTCATGGCTGTCAGATAATTTCTGTAACCACATTACTGCTTACATTTGGTCACCTAACTCCCCAGACTGCAACCTCCTTGATTATTATGCGTGGGACACAGTTGAGCAAGAGACCAACAAAACTCCTTGTAACACCAAAGATGAACTGAATGCAAGGATTATAGCAGGATTCACCAACTTAAACAAGGAGATTGTCCAGAAAAGTTGTAGGAGATTCCAAAGTTGTCTGGAGGCCATGGTTGAAGCCAATGGTGACTTTATTGAATGAATTTACTCTTTAGTATTTGAAGATATTTTTGTGGCATTTTGGTAAATATATCTGCTAAAATGAGATGTCTATTATTTTCATTTTTGAGTAATTTAAATGACAATTTATCCACGTTGGAAACTTATTTTCATCATCAACTATGTTCTTTGGTTTTTTTTCAGGTGTATGCTGAATCTAGTGATTTTTCAAAACTGTTTTGTTCTTTTTCCTTTACAACTCCCAAAGACTGCCAGATACTACTTAAGAAAGACTAAAGAACATATGTTGACTGAAACATTTTGTTAAAATAACAAAGATGAAGTCTAAAAAAATGTGTGAAATAATTAAAGTATCCATTCTCAAAAATTAAAAAGAAATATCAATACTGCAAAGTGTTTTTTTTTTGCAGACAATCAAACATTAGAAAATGTGTCACTGTTCCTGATGTAATTTCTGCTGCATTCTTATAAAACAAAGCTGTCCTCTTAGACTTGAGCAACACAAGGAAATTATAACCAAAGAGAAAGCAAAAACAAATCTAGTATGATGAACTGTTTTATCTCTCTCTATCTCTCTCTCAGATAGAGTTTGGATAAGTGAGTGAGAAAACTCAAGGAGATAGCATACATTGGCCTGTCAACCAAGTGCATGAGTTGGCATAGATTTCAATATGATATGGGTTTTCTTAGCAAAGTTAGTGTTGTTATACTCCCAATCCTCTTATGTGGATATTTGGTGTACATAATGCTTTGAAAAGAGATAAATAAACAGTTCAATAGGTACATGATGCAGTCAGAGAGAATGAAATAAAAAAATCTGTTCCATTTCTTCTATTACTGAATTTATTTTACTTATTTCTCTAAGTATAAAAAAAAATATTTAATATCATAATCTTTGTCATAAAAAGGTAGGCATAGATGTTATACTACATTAATCAAGATCTCTTTCTGATTCAGAAATATGTTTCATTAGACGTGTCAGCACTAAGAATGCAAAACACAAAATAACAAAAAAATGTCTTCTGTACATAGGGCTCTGAGCATCACATTTGGTTCACAAAACAAATCCCCACAAAAATCTAAAATACAATAGCCAATCATAAATGGTGCTGCCAAAGAAAAAAAAAAAATAAATAAATAAAAAATAAAAGGAAAGGACGAGCCTGTTAAACCACAGATATAAAAACCACATGGCTCACAAACAACAGGCAGTTCATCTCAACAACTCCACCTTGTACATGACTGCTGGCCCATTCACACACCTCACCAGTGTCAATTTCAACTCTGAAGATGGATCAACCCCGCTAATGACATGCTACACACAGCTTCACTAATTCACTCCAGGCCTCTCTCCTGACACCAACCATGACCTTGGTCAACCAACCTACTACCTGCACCTGGCTGACAACATTCTTACACTTAATCAGTTCCCTTACCAATCGCAACTATAGAACACATACCAACAATTTTGTCACCCAACTATGTATATATTCTGAAAAATGGTCAATACATACTTTTGAAACTTTAATCCTTGTTTGTTCTTTCTTTTGAAACTATATGCTCCTTATAACAGATATGATGGTTAACTGTTAAAATAAGATCAATGGTAGGCAGGACTTCCACTACTGATTACACTATTTGAAATTTGTTTACATATTCAATCTATTGATCAGCCGTTTTATTCAAGTGACATGTCCTTTCAAAATGTATAGGTGACCATGGCTCCCCACAGCTTACTTATCTTTAATATCTAAACTGTGCACTGCAACAACTGTTCTTGGTAAAGAGAGTGGGATGGTTTCCTGTTACCTTCTCCATAGAGTGAATTCAGAGTTGTTGTTCTCCAAGACCAGTTGCTAACCAAAGCTAGATAGCCTAGTCTACCCTACTATTTTACACATAAATGGTTTACTGCCTTTCTCAACAATAACGGTGCAAAGTAAACACAAATTGCCTTAACCAGAATTTGGTCTTAGCTGATCATTTCCATTTTTTGCATTGTTAACTATTAATCTGCCCACACTTCAACAGTCTAGGGAATAAAAAAAACCAAAAATGAACAAAGAACATCCTGCTTATTATTGTTATCTGTCAGCAATGATTAGTATACAAACCTTCTGTGTGTCTTTTCTTATAAATTTTGTTGATCTTATCCAAACCAACCTCCCAGCACCCTCGACAGGCTTCAAGTTCTGCTTTGACTGATTCCAACTGTTCATACCATAAATTCTCTTTCTTGGATAGATTATCTTGGATTTTCTCATCCATGTTTTCCCCTTCTGCAATCATCTCCAAATTTTGTTGGGTTTCGTCTTCAGAAAATTTTTCTAGTTCAGTCGAAAGAGCAAAAGATCTGCATAATAATAAGCAGTTCACTTTTAATAATGTAAATGTTTTATGAACAGCATAGAATAAAATGTTCTCTTTGTTAAATAAATTTACAAGTTCACATTGCTAAAAGTATATCTCCAAATCTTCAGCAGGAAAAAAAAAACAAACAGGATGATAAAGGCTGGAGAGCACAACAGCTGAAATGTGATAGCAACTACAAAGATGAAGATAATAGTCCCAGTGTAAATAATGATAACTCATCATTACTGAGAAACAAACAGGACTATGAAAATTCCATGGAACCTTTGTAATTTAAAAGTCAAAGCATATTTTAATAACACAAAAAAGAAATCATTTATACTTTTAGATTGTGGCTTTTTTCCTTTTGTCTGTATAGATGCTTAATGATAAACAATCATTTTCCATTTTCAAGGATTTTCAAAAGACACTACTTCATGACAAAATTATCTGTAATTGTAACCTTGTCAAAAGTTAGCATTAGCTTTATTAACTGTCATTAAATGTTATTTTATGAATTATCTTGACTAGTATCCATATTGTCATTTTGTATTACTGTTTGAAGTATTCTTTAGTCTTCCTTAGGTCTATGTTGCAAACTGTGTTGCTCAGTATATTTTTCTTATATGACTACCTTCTATACCAGAACAATTTACAGATCCAAGAGTCAAAAGAGAAATTTGAAAAAAAAAAAAAATTGATAACTTCTGTGATTTTGGGAAAAGTTAGGATGATTGAAAGAATTGTTGAGACTATTGAACACATTCTTTTTGCTACTTGTGTTGTTACCACAATGTTTTCATGAATCCATTCAGTGTACAATCTGCATAGAAAAAATAAGGGTCAATCATTCTCAGCATTATAGTAGCAATCATAAGAAACTAGAAACAAATATATTGATTAGATCAACCCTTAATAGAAACATGTATAACACAGGCAATTTTATATTGATCTGAACAACCCATTCTCAACAACTCATGTAATACAGGCTATTCTATATTCTTTTTATACAAGAATGGTTTCCAGTTTTTTTTATTCTTTTTTGTTAAGCAAAGAAATCTACCTTGGCCTGACTGATATATTTCTCATCACTAATTTTCTCACTTTCCCTATTATTTGAACCCCATAAAGATTAATGTAATCCCTACTTTCCCCTCAAATATGATCTCCCATAAAAAAAGACTTTATTCCTTCAGATACAGGTTTTTTGTTCTTGGAGTCAGATATTCATGGGACAGCTATTTCCTTCATTATATTTTTTGACACTTGTATGAGAAAATATATACAGAGAAAAGTAGTGTAAAAAGCTAAATTTCTTATAGTAGATTTCTTTTATGTAAATAGAATGAATCCAAAGACTTTTGGGAGGAATATTAATTTGTCATTAGTAAATATGTTTTATGTTGCTTGTTCCAAGAACAGATTTATTTTTAGTGTGATATTTTTGTTTATTCATTGAATTTGATTATCAACTTTAATATAAAATTTACTTGCTTTCCATCGCAACTTACTCTGGCTATGACAGTAAGAAGATAATAAAGATTTGACTAAAAGTCATGCCCACTTTGCTTTGGGGGAAGGCTGGTTTGTTGTACCAGATGCTCTGATTGGGATACAGGGAACTCTACAGTTCTTTATATTGCAATTTTCAAAGAGAGAGGAGGGTGTCAGTTTATAGTAGTAAGTAAACATTATAGATAAGAAATAAAGAATATGCTTCCAATGCTTCATTTAAAATAAATATTGTTGATATTAATTCAGTTTTCTTATATACAATGCCATATTTTGGATATAGTGAGGCATCAAATATATAGAGATTAAATCCAAGGCCCTGATTTGTATAACAATATTATAAATCACATGAATGTACTTATTTGGTGATGAAACTTAATAATTTCATAATTCCATACTGAATTATCATATTAGACTTACATGTCATTTGTTGCAAGCTGTTAATATTGCTGTTAATGCTGTATGAAATTGGAAAGCTATAAATCTTTATTATATTCCAGAAATGGGAAGCTTTAATAATTTTCTTTAGAATTGATGTGTGAAACTGATCTAGATCTAATGTGATATAAACATGAACTGATCCCCAATTGATCTTCATGTCTCTGATAGCTAAACATATATAAGAACAGATAACCCATTCAATTTGTAGTGAAGAATGTGACAAAAAACTAAATAAATAAAAATGATATCTATACTTTGGATTGATTTTGTAATAAAAGATTTGAACCATTCTTGTATTCCACCCCTTGCCACAACTGTTGTAAGGCCTTTGACATTGGTTGCAGGAAATATGTGTGTATTAGTCTGCAAGTCATCACTACTGAGGATTTAAAGTGAGTTGCAGTGTGCTGTTTACTTGACCAAATTTCACTCTTTGGGTCAGAGATATTTCAGTGTTTTGGCACAGTGAGGCAAGACTATAGTAGTAAGGTCCCTAGAGATTGGAGATTTTCCTTCTCTTAGGCAGATAGCCGAATTTGTTGAAGTTTGTTACTCTTTCAAAAAAGTAGTCCCTCAATATGGTAGATCAAGGTCCCAGAACTTAGCATAATTAAAAGTATATATAAATTTATTTTTTTATATGTAAGTTTTTTTCTGAGTTCTGGCTGTTTTTTCTTTCCTTCCAGACTGCCATCCTAATATTTGAGGATGCACATTTGATGTTTGTTGGGTTTTGGTTTGAGAAGAAAGTTTAAGCAGCCAACAAGGGAAAATGTTGAATTTGCTGGTTAACTAGCCACAAAATCTTTGGGATATACAATTGAAATTCCAATTGGAAAACATTGCACAGATTTTCAATTGAAAGGACTTACAATAAACAAGAATAAAAAGTATTTAACTGCAAAACAAAAGACACTTTCATAAGTTCTATTCTGTTCTACATAAGGAAGAATTTAAATTCTATCAAAAGAATTTAACTTTTTACATTAAAATCAACACTGTGGTCTGCAACATCATTCTCTGCTTGTCTGGGTTAAAACAAATCAACAGTGCACATTTGATATTTGTTGCTTTTCATATGATTTAAAAAGTTTACTAACAATGTAAAGAATAGCCACTGATCATATGACTGCTACTAGTGTTCCCCTCTCTATTTTTCAGACAAGCAAGATAAGAAAGAAAGAAATATTATAATGGAATAAAAGATTCAATTCTTACACTTACAATAGAAAGAAAACTTGGTTATGGGCAATAACTCATATAATAACAAGCTTAATTATACTTATTTTTCTGTCTAAGACACACTTGAGCAAAGGAAGTAGGAGGGGTAATTGTCGTCCTGCATTTTATAGATTAAAGGCTAAAATTTCAATTTATTATGTGTTATGTTTAGCAAGGATCATGAGTTAGTGAAGTAACTCCTTAAATCTAAACAGGGATTGTTCTCTTTCTGAAAGCAAGCATATCTCAATACTGCTAAACAATTAGTTATGCATTGGAGACAAAGTGATAATATTATAAGAATTCCACTCATATATGATGAACTCCTTTTACATTGAAAATGTCTACCAGCATTGTTCTCGTTTTTCTTCAGGTTAGTGCATGAGAAAAATCATCAAATATATAATGAAAAGATATGGCACTTCTCTGATCCAAATCCTCTTAACTCTACAGAAGCTTACAATCTTTTATTTTTCATTAATTTACAAAACAAATCAAACAGTATTTACCTGTGTAGTGCTGCTCGTAGATGAAGATCAAGGCTATGAATGGCCATATATAATTCTGATACTGAAGACATGGCCTGTTTCTGATTAACTGGAGAACTTTTGGCATCTCTTTCCTGGAAACTGCTACGGTGGAACTCATAGCTATTTCCAAGTTTCATAGACTCAAGTAACAGCCGTTTGTTAAGATTTACAATTAATTGGCAAAGTGATGAATCCACCTTTCCTGTAATAAAAAAAAAAAAAAAAAAACAGAATCAACTTTGAAGTATCATTGCTACATTTACCTTCTATATGATAAAAATGCAAATAAAAAATAATGTAGTTACTTCTTAAATGATGGCAAAATATGTTTATCTATGGGAGACACTAAACGATATAAGAATAACATTAACAAGGAGTTTTTTTATTGAATGATTTTGTGAGATGTATGAAATGTTTAACAAAACATAAGAAATGCTGGGACATTTTAACAAATGAACAAATTGAAAATCCCTTGAGGTTTGAGGTAACATCATGTACATGTATTGAAATAATTTAAATTCAATATATTAGGGCAGCAATTGCTCTTTTAAATATGTATTGTGAAAAACAATAGACATTTTGTGACTATTATATTTAATGATCTTTTTTTTCTAATGTACAAATATCTTTTCACAAACATGGTTGTTGTGTGTGGATAAATTAACAAAGATTTATTTTTTTTTAATTAATAATATATCTTCATCTTTGTTGCTTTTATTATGTTATGTATTCTTTAGCCTTGCTTGAGTTTCACATTTAGGTTTCATTGAAAAGTATTAATCTATTTAAAAGAAGAGCCTATCTAGAACAATGGCATCTTAGTTCCATAAGTACTCCTCTTGGAACCTCACACACTCCCTCCCAGCATCTCTTTCACTTTTCAAAATCCTCTTTAGGGATTACCATCAGTTGCTTTATTATATCTTACTCAATTTCATGCATAGTCTGAAATTTCTTCCTTTTTATCTTTCAATGATGACAACCAGTAATTATAGGGAACCAAATTTCGTTTGTTGTAGGGCTCACAGATATGGCTGCTCCAATGTTAAAAAAAAATAAGGAAAAAAATCCAGACATTAGGTGTGAAGAATGAGCAGGTACTTGGTCATTGTGTATGTAACAGTCACACAAAATACAAGCTCAATTAAAGCTACCTCACTGTCATCTGACAGGAGAGTGCTCCCTCAAGTGACATCAAGGAAGCACAACCTGTTTTCAAGGTTCAATATGGTGAGATAACAGACCTTGTATGTTCTATCTTCTTGTGATAATTAGCTGTTGCTCAAGACATAATACTTTTTATGATAAATGGATATTCCCTTGAGGAGGCACTGTGCCTTGAGAGAATACTGGGCCTCAAACTCACACTTGATCTCAAGTGGAACTCTTATATATGATCCATCACTAAAGATGCAGGTAAAATGATCAGCTTGCTGTACTGCTTCAGTAAGTACCTAACTCCTCATGCTATCCTCTACCAGGTCAGACCAAAAATGAAGTATTGTTGCCATATTTGGGCAGGAGCTGCCCAGTCCTCACTTTATAGTCTTGATAGAGTCCAAAAGTGTCTTTGTTAGAGAATTATTATTTTCCTCTCTCTCTCTCTCTCTCTCTCACAGGCAGGATGTGACAAACCTCTCACTGCTCTATCACTACTTCCACTGAAAATGCTTGGATGAACTGCATTCCTTGGTTCTGACCTTCATGTCTAGGACCTGCCATGACACTATTCATCGTAGCAAACCACCCTCATTCACTTTGTATTCCAGTGGCGGGAATTAAGTTGCACACAAACAGATTCTTCTCGTGAACCACTGCTCTGTGTAACAAATGCCCAAGAGGATGTTTCCCTGATCACTGCAATCTTAACCTGTTCAAATCTGAAGTCAACTGTTATCTCCTCCTCCTATCCATATATAAACTACCCTTAATGTAACCCTCTACCTCATGAGGGTCTTGTACAAGATGAACCTTACTGTAAAAAAAAAAAAAAAATTTCCTCAATAAGAATATAATCTGATTAAAAAAAAAATTGCATTTCACAGATAAAGTTTTGTACTTGCAAGAAAAAAAAAAGAAAACTGGGAAAACCTGTTCAATGTTTATTTTAATTGATTTGACACAAGCAAATTAAAATAAAACTTCTGCATGGATAAAATGAGAAAATTAAAAGAATCAAATGTCTACTTCAGGCATAAATCAAACCTCTTAAGCTAGGTTTTAATTTTTAATAAAAGACAATTGCTTTACCTCTTTGAGCCTCAGGTTGGGCGTTTACACAGAAGCAGAGAGCGAGACGACGGACAAATTCTGATTGTTGCATGCTATAAAGGTAAAGCATAGCCTGAAAAAAACAAAACAAAAAAGACTTACAAATATGTTAAAAATTCAACAAACAGAAATTTCTTATAACAACTTGTAGTCATATTGAAAAAGAATTATTGAGTTTAAAATGTGATATTACTCTTGGAGATGTAATATTATGTGTTTGTTGTATTTGGTTGCTACAAGGCCAAATTTTCAGAGGACTCAACAAGGATTATACTCTCAGTGACTTTCAAAATCAAGAAGTTAGATAATTTAAGCAGAAGACTGCACCTCTGACCAAGATATGTATACAATATTCTATGCAGATGTGAAGAAAAAAGGCAATGATATTCTGTGCAGATGTGACAGTGAAGAAAAAGGCAAGACAGTTGATCTTCTAAAGGTAAAACTTAAGAAATGAAATGTATAATTCATAGAGGGACTTTGAAATCAGATATGGCAGCAAATCTTTATAGAATGAACTCAAAATAATAGATATTAGGAAATTTGTGCTGATAGATTCTCAGCCTGACCAAGAAGGGATTTCAAAAAGAAATCCTGATATTTGGGAAGTTTTGTCCTTGTAGAATAACATTGGCAAATAAAGCAACCAAAAGAAGTAGTAAACATAATAGTTTGCAAATTATCTACAACCAATAGACTCAGAACAGATATCAACACTAGATGATAGCAGCTGTTTCAGAATTGTATTAAATTCATGGATTAAAGTAAAAATCGCTGAGTGTACTTATATGGCATAACATTGCCTAATAGATGAAAACACCTGTAATAGTCATCTAGTTTGCTAGAAGTTTCAAATTCAATCTCTGGGAGAGCAGAAACACACACTGGTTCTGTAGGGAAGCAGATTAGCATTGTAAGGAAAAATTCATAGTTACAAATTCTCAAATTCCCTTGAAACAGTACAATATATGATAGGTATAAAAATGAGAACAATAATATATCTCTCTCTCCCTGTCTTGTAGGTTGAATATAGTGTTCGGTATTTGATAAAACATTCATGCTATAGGTGCAGGTAAATTTTCTAAATTTCTAATCTTTGAAAGTAATCAGACAAATGACTAGGTCATGGCATGGGAGAATGCTCTAGAAAAGTAAATGTATGTAAATCCAATGTGCTTCATAGAAGGTGCTAAATTTTGAATTAAACAAATAATGTACAACTTCCAAAATTGTTTCATGCAATTTGATTTATAGCTCACCACTGACACACAAGATTTTTGATACTTATTTTTTTGAATATAATATATTCCAAAAATAGTTCAGAAGTCATTAAAGTTGATCCCTATATCCTGTTGGAACTTGATGTGATTTGAAAACATCATCATCTTCAATAATATTGCCTTGTCATGAGATATTCAAATCTATTATAGATTTGAATATATCTTGACAAGACAATATGAAAGTATTGCTTGAATCAATAAAAGTTATAGATTCAGAAAAGTGTTGTAATGGAATGCCCCACTCTTCCTATCACCTATGTGGACTGACTATATCAGTAGATATATATATATATATATATATATATATAGTGAGCACAGGATATACCTGGCAGACTTGCTTCAGGAATTACTAGCTTGCTAACCGATTCCCTATCTTTCAGTAGTGTATTCTCTTTTACAATAAACCTCTCTTTCTTTCATCTATGCCCGTGTTGCTGTTCGTTTCACTTGAGTACCACCTTTGTCTGTAACCTCTTTAAGGATACAACAAAATGTAAAATAATCAGCAAAGTAATGATAAAAACCTTGAGGGCAGTGACAGAGAAGTCATCAGTTAATTGACTGAGCTTCTCTTTTGACTCATCATCATCTTCAACTTCCTGTAAGCTTGGTCCATAATCTTGTAAAGGAATGTTGGCAAGGTAAGTGGAGGCCTTATCTACCTCATCAATCAAAGGATAACTGAAATTCTGTTAAGGAAACACTCATGTTAAACAATAAATAATAACATTCTGCTTATTAGTGTTAACAAATAATGTGCATCCATATTTAAACTATGACAGCTGTAGTTTAAATTATTGAGAAGGGAATACAATGATGTTACAATGTTTTTTTGCTTTTCTTATAAATACTAAGGATGTCACTTAAAGACTTGAGCATTTCTTGTAGAAATAAAACCAACAGATGAGACTATGTTATGGAATTGATATATTGTCATGTGGGTGCTTTTTCCAAATGAGATATTCTATAAATATCTGTGATTTATTACACTAACTTGTGCCATTTTTGTGAAAATGGCACAAGTTAGTGTAATAAATGTAAAGTTAGTTAGTGTAAATAACATTGGTCTACAGATTGCACTAAGTGTTTGAGAAAACATCTTTATGAGGAAGACATAAATGGGAGACATCCTAATATAATGCTATGCAGCATGTGTCAAATTTTAATTTTTTTCTCTTTCCGATGTGTTGAGAGAATTAAAATAGCAGCTTATAATATGACTCAGGAAATGAAAAAAAATACTGTGCTTGTAGCACTACCTGTCAACTATAGTGACTTAGTCAGCTTCTTGAAAGTGGTTAGGACCATCACATATAAGGTCAGAAACAGTCTATAGGTCTCTGGCAGGGATGTATCATTGTTAGCCAGAAGAAAGAAAAATTCTAAGTAATGCTTAGATGTCATAAGAACATCAAACACTGCCAGAAGATAAACCATATAAATACACACACACATATTTATGTGTGTGTGTGCAAACTGGAGAAAACCTGCTACCGGGGTATAACTAACTTTGAAAAAAATCATCTCAACCATCTGAGAGAATTAAGAACCAACACTAAATCTTGGGCCAATACATCAGACCATATGACAGTCAACCCTTCAGCATGTCCCTTGTGTGGACTTGTTTGCAAATCCTGTGCAGGATTGTTGTCTCATATGAAACATAAACATAAAAACTGAACAGAAAGACACTTATATTTCGAAAACGATGGGAGAGTCCATCATATATATATATATATATATATATATATATATATATATATATATATAGCTCAGGTTGTAGATGCATGATGTAATTCTTGGGCAATGTCATTTTTTTTAGACCAGAAGTTTTTGCAAAATTTTCTGTATAACACAAAATTTATCTCATCTGGATTTGGAGGGATATTGTTTTGTACAGTTGGTATCTCATGAGACTTTAGATTATTTGCATATTCAGCTTTATAATAAAGGGTCAGTATTTCCAGTTCATCTCTTATAAAGGATACTATTCCAAAAGCAAGCTCGTTGATTTGCGAGAAGACAGCATATTTGAACGTGAGGCCAAGAAGAGTAAACGTCGAAGTTCAGGGCAGAGTCGGTGACTGACAGGCAATGAATTTTCAGCTTTTGATATGGAAATTTGAGAGCTCACTCTGAAAGATTTGAAAAAAAAAAAAAAAAAATGAAATCAGATTTAAAAGGTTGAAATCAGCCTGAGATAAATCTAAGAATCACAAAGAAAGAATCCAAAGGGAATGTCAAAATTTTTTTTCAGCTGAGTAAAGATTTCAATATAAATCATATAATACAAGGAGAGAAAAAACATTTTCAGAGCTAAAATGAATTTCCATCATTAATCAGCTCTCTGGGTGGAAATGCTAGATTTTTCAGTCACATGTCTAAATTCTCTATCACCATACCAGATTTACAAAATGATAGAGATTTTACAAGTATTAAAGTTTGTAGTAGAAGGACACTTTTGTTCTAATCTGAAATTTTTTTTTGTAGGTAAGTATTAATGACCTTCATCCTTCTAACTTATGAATCAAACCTCAGATCTCATAGCCATCAGTCTGTTGTTCATTACAAGTTTATAACATTAACAGAACTTTTGTAAGTGTTAGACTTTTCATTAGTAAAATTTTCTCAAGTTTGTGATGAAAAGCATGTAAAATTCATACTTACAAAGTAAATCCTTTTCTCACAAGTTCAACTTCTTGAATAAGGCGCAAAGACTTTTTCTGTAGTGTGATTGAGGTTTCTGCTAGCTGAAGAAAATCTATGACTTGCCATGCTTTGTGCTTGAAGAGTAACACATGCCAAATTATAACTGCAACTAGCCCAATCAGCATGAGGAAGTAGCATTTGGTCATGAATTGCATGAGGCTAAAGGTTGGGTTCATCAAGACCATAGCAGACAATGGACTGAATAGGCACCACATATACAGCAAAATAATGGCAAAAAGAGGATAGACACTGAAAATCGAAACAAAATTCTGATTCAATTTTTATTGACAAAAGAAACACACCACACATTACAAGTAAGAATGAAGAGTGTATTGGGCCAGAATGTTGTGCTAAAGAAGCAATGGATTACCATGAGAGTAATAATTAAAAAATAGTGAGAATAGTGCATTATTTATAGAAATAGAATAGTGAGTTTTAGAAAGAGAATTCTTTAAGTTCTTTTTTGGTTTCAGAAATTAGTTTTCTGAGTTATCAGTATCTTTTATTTTTAAAGAAAAAAACAAAACAATTTCATACCTGAAAGTTTGAAAAGTTTATTGAATATAAAATATAAGAAAAATAAGCAAATCTATTATTGTAAAATATATTTTTAAAATTCAAATTATCATCTATAGGTTGTTTAAAAATAACATTCCTTATTGTGTGTGTGTGTGTGTGTGTGTGTGTGTATTGTATGTTATTAAGATAATAGATATCAACAACTGTTTCTCTTATGTAATGTATTTATTATTATTATTATTATTATATAAATATAAGAGTTATGGAGTCACTATGCATCACTTATTGATTATGATAAGAATCTGCAATAATCTGATTTTTTAAAATTTCATTTTATTATTTTTATAATGATCTCCTTTTTTATTTTTCTACCCTTTTTACTTTTCATTTAAGTCATCTAAGATTCATGCTATCTCTTAATAACAAATACATTTTATTTGAATGTCATTTTCTCAAAAGAAAAAAAAAACTAATACAATGTAAAACAGTTAAAAGATCTGATATACATTTGGGAACTGATGGAGAGGGTAAGTTTTTTAACCAAGGGTTTTCTCACTCCCATTGTGATTACTGATTTGAGCAAATCTTTCCCCTTAGTCAAATTTTCTCCTCTCTTTGTCAGTTCATATGACTAAAATGTTCATTGATTTATTTTTCTTCCTCATCTTTGCCAGGGTTGTTTCAAGCAATTTGAAGCCCTCTGGGTATTAAGCTGTTTGTTTATCAAAGAATAAATCAAGGCACACAAGCTCATGTGTCTACTCTATTATTAATCTTTGTTCACTTGCCTGTTTTTATGACCCAGACTGACAAAAGAACTCTTTTAGCAGAGAGTATTAATGATCTGGCATTGCAACTTGGCTTTTATCTCTACACTCATCATCATCATCATAGGATACTATTAATTGGCTCTAACTCAAGTTTTCTCTCAAGGCATGCAAAGTAAAACAGACTATTTGAGTGGATGGCTAATGACTGGTCGGAGGTAGACAGGCAGTAGTCCAATCAGTAGGCCCAGCCAATGATGATCTGTACTTTTCTCTATGGGTTGGAAAAACTACTCTCTGCCTGGGTTTGCACTGTGTCTCTATATTTATGGAAACCTTTCTTTCACATGCCAGGCTACAAAATCTATTTGTATAGGTGTATAGTAACATGGTCAGAGGAAGTGTTTTGGTGACTTCATTCTCTGGTTACAAAGTAGTCAACCAAATTCTTGACATTGAAAACAAGTAAGGCAGAATTGTACAGTAATTATTGTAAAATAACAATATTCTTTTATTGAATTTTTTTTGCCATGATTCTTCTTGTAGTGCCATCTGGTTTAGTTCAACTGCCACTTTTCTTGTGACGAGTGTGAGTTTAGGGGTGCATGCTTCTTTTTTTTTTATCTAATCCTAGTAGCTAGTTAAAACCCTGTTCAAGCATGTCACCCTCAATAAGTGGCCTCCTAGCTCTCCTGATTTGAATCCCCAGGACTACTATAACTGGGATATTTTCAAGGGGGAGACTAACCAGCAGCCCCACAACCCCAAAAGACTCATTGAACACCACTGTCTTAAACATGATAGTAAACTTAAGTGAGTCAGCTGATCTAAGTGTCCAGTCAATTCTGAAGTGACATCCAAGAGGTTAAGGGTTGTTTAAATCTTTTCTAAGCTGAACCTATGTACAAATATTTTTCAAAATATACTGACATTGAATATCTTCATTTTTCTTTATAATTTCTCACTTACCTGAATAGAAGTTTACACATTTGATTCATAACTACCAATAATCATAAAACTATCAGAGAGGATCAATGAGCCTGGAGCCTGACATAAAGTTATTAGTTGAATTCTGATCTGAAATTTTCACTGTATCATATTTGATCTTCATTATTAATAGAGATGCCTTGGACTAAATTCATTGACATGGAAGGAAATTATGTTGCAAATATTGTGTTAAAGAAATGCTTTTGGCACTATCAGATTACTGATTTATTGATGTACCTTTTCTTGTTTTTACTAAATATTACCCAATACAAGGCTCGAGAGTCATTCAAGGCAGAGGATTACAGTTGAAATGGAAATAATATGTGGAAGAGGTGGTAGAAGGTGGGGATTATGAGGATAAAGATGATATGTAATGATTGACCCTTGACTTGAAGATGATCAAGATTAAAGTGTTCATGGAAAGATCCATAGTCTGCTTCACAAAGTGGCAGTTTTTGTGAAAAAGTTCTGAGTGGAACTTTTTTATTACATTTGGAACATAAAGGAAATAAGGGTCATTCAACAAGACCATAGCAGACAATGGAAGTATTTTGGTAAGTCTTAGTTTTGGTGATAACTAAAGATGGAAGCTTTTCTAAACATCCATCTTGGTAATAGTGATAGAGCCAGACTTGCAACAATGTGTGTGTGTGTGTGTGTGTGTGTGCCAGTTGATATTTTTTGAATAAATGTAATCCAAAGAAATTGAAATAGGTAAAGCTTACCAACATAAAAAAGCTTCTTTCCCTTTGTTGAGATCAGCTGATTCCCTTGTTTCAGAAATGTAATTTTCCAAGAATATTTTATCATCATCTTCCAATGCTTTGCTTTGGATAATCTTTTGCAGCAGTAAATGGTTTTGGTGACTGTGCTGAAAAGAGAAAGAATTTGTCACAGAAAATAAAATATATATATATTTATACACTGCGTGCCAAATTATTATCGAGATAACTTTTTTTCTAATATTTCAAAAACCGTCCAATCAATTCACACAAAATTTTCACACAATGTTGGCAACACTGACCTGTGCAATCACTGAAATTTTCGTAATGATCTGCGCAATATAAACAAACTAGCGCCATATTTGTTATCAGCACGGTGATTTGAGTGTGCCAAAATTAATAGAAAAGTGTAAGAATTTAGTGAAAAGATGGGCCGTAAAAGCAGCTTAAGTGATGCTGAAAAGAAAACTATCACATCAGAACCGGGTGTAACAGCAAAATTGTCCATTTCTTAGATTAAGCTTTGAACTGTTGTATCCTAGAAATGATTAAAGATATCTTACTTGAATTCTTCAAAGTTTTTATAACACTATTGGACTCTACTTCGAATGTATAATTACTCCAAGCTTCACAGAAATTTGATGTAATTGATCATATACAAAAATGACATGTTCATCATTAATTAATCATAGCTAAATATTGGAAGTTCATGAAGGATTGAAATTATGTTCACACACACACATTATATATATATATATATTCTAGGATCATTTTCTAACTTATTCGAGATGATCTTTGCCTTCTTTAACCTAACTTTCTGTCCTGGAGTAACAAGGTGCCTCACAGGTTTCACGTACGATTTCATTTTCAAGTTTTTTTTCACTGCTCTTTGGATTGTCATAGCTGAAACTCTTCTCTCACATGCCAAACATCTTATGGATTGAGTTGGATCTTTTCTAATTGATCTCTTTAGCTCTAAATTGAAATGATGATCCCTCTTTTTGTTGTGACCTCCTGATCCAGTTTTCCTCTTTACTGCTCCCTCTTATTTAAACTTATTCACCATTCTCTTGATGGTTCTTGAATGGACCATGAAGATGGAAGCCAGAGTATGAATGTTGGTATCATTACTGAATGCCTGTATGATCTTTTTCCTCTCACCATTGCTCATTTGTGAAGACATTGGGATTGACACAAAATGATTTTAGCCTGTTCTCTTTCCAGCTGAATAACTCAAAGGGTTTTTCAGTGATTCTTATGACAAATGGTGTCAAGTTGGTTAAACACCTTATCTGAAAACCTGGAAAAAAGTAACTCAATTAGTTCAGTGATTTTTTAGATATTAAGCATTTTGTTACATGATTTGGACAATTTTGCTTTTAAACCTGTTATACAAGTGAAAAGTCAAACAATAAACTTAAATTTCTGTCTGAATTTCTGAGTTGAGGTGTTATTATTTACATGCAGACTATTGTCCTCATCTTTGTTGTTGTTACCACAATATTTCAGCCATTCTGCCCTCCAGCCTTCATCAACAGGGAATTTCAATATGGAGGAACATTATTCTCTAGGAAAATCTCATCTAATTCTTATTTAGTACTGCTCAGTTATTGCTTGTTCCATTTTCACTGCCCAGCCCAGGGAGTGAACTCACAATTCCTTTGTAGTCAAATTCACAAACCAACACTTTAATCCACTAGGCTATATTGTAATGTGGGACAATTGTGTGTAGAGAATTTAGGGACTTAAACTGAACCTGCCTCTTGCTGCTTGTCAAAGAAATTAAACACAACAGAAATTGAATCATTGTAGCCTTTCTATTTGAACCAGAATGCTCATCTTTACCATTATACTTATAATGTTCAGGCTGTCATATATCCTGGCCTTCTATATACTTGGTAACCATCTCAGAATTTTGAACTGAGCCCTTTATTCAAACCAATGAGTAAACTATTCTCATTTTGTTTTCCATGCTTAGAGGATTATCTTGTATCAGTTAATTCTCTCTAGTTCATTCACCTTTGTGTTGCTTGCCTATTTCTTCTACTCATAACAGCATATATAATTATAACTTTTCTATGTTACCCTACTGTGGGATTGAACTGACAACTCCATGTGAACTAGATATGTCTTGAATTAATGCATTAATCCAGTCTTAAGAGACACATAGCCAAGTGGATTAGAGTTTTGGTTCACTGGTAGTTATGAGTTCAATCACAAAGCCAGATGTTGCAAAATAATAATAAAAAATATGTTGTACACTGATTCAGAAGAAGAAACAGTCAGGTGGCACAAAGGTGAATAGATTAGAGAGAATTAACTGATAAGAGATATTTCCTTAGTGTGGAAATGAGTGAAATGAGAACAATCTACTCCAGTGGATCAGTAAAGGGATCAGTTCAAAATTCTAAGAAGATTACCGAGTACAATAACAGACAGTTGAAGAAAACCAGAGAGTACAACATTCAAAATGTTGTGATATAACAACCAAGATAAACATGCTTGTCCTAAATAGAAAAGGCATATAATAATAATTTCTCATGTCAAAAATTTTGAAATAAAACAATTGAATCCTTAAAAAAGTATTGTATTTTATTTTTGCAGATGTAAAAGAAAATTATAAAAAACAGCAACTAGAGAAACCTATTTTTTTTTTATTAACTAGTATAGTATTCATCAAGTGACAAGATTATTTACATATGGAATGGTATTTTCCCCTTGGATCAAACTGTTGCATCTGTTTATGATTGCTGTAATATATGTGTGCACCGTTAAAGGTGTTAAGCATACACATGTGCAATATAACCATCAGCTGCTCATCTGTTCCTTTCCATGAAATTATAGAATTGGGAAAAGTGGGAAAGAGATCATGAAGTTAGAAAAGTAGAGGGTAAGTAATAAAGCTTGAGGAAAAGAGTATGAAAGGAAAGGATGGAGACAAATAACAGACAGACAGGCTTGAGTTTTATTACTCCTTTATCCTTTGCAGCTTTTAAAGTGAGTGTAGGTTTATTTTTTATTTTTTTTTTTTTTTTACAAATACAGATACCTAACATTGAATGTTAGGTAGATAGTTTAACATATTGATTTTGATGAGTATTTACTTTCATTTTAATTTTTTCATTGTTTATTAATAAAAGTTTATGAATTTATGGTAGTGATAAGATAGTGTAGGATTAGAAATAAATGACTAATGCTATTTTTAAACAGCAAATATTTCTTTATGTGTATATAATTTACTTTATCTACAAGACAGATATTTCAAAGTAAATCTCAAAAGGTTAAGTCTTCCTCAAAATGATAATACACAATATTTAACTTGTAAAGTAATACAATAGGATTTGGACAGAAAACACCTCCACTCTGTAGTTTAAGAGACAGTATAAGAGACAAGTACACTAAATAATAAATGACACAGAATCATATTTTAATTACAGAATATATTAAGAAAGGGTGAATTTTTAAAAATATTTTGTGGAAAGAATTTGATATTTGATTAAGATATTGAGCAGAATACTTACAGATTTTTATTCTCCCTTAAATAAAATTATAGAAAAAGAAAATATGTGAAAATTTCTATTTACTGTGTTGTTTGTACTATGAAGAACATTTTCTGCATTTTAATAATAAACCCTTTTCTTGTCAGTTATTTTAAAAAGAAGATTAAGATTTGGATTTTTTTTCCAGGAGAAAATTTTGTACCTAAAGAATTAATAATTAGTGTATTTATTTGATGCCATATAAGATCCTACCCACTTTACATTTAATATTACAGAATTAAGTTAGGTACAAAGATTTGTAATCTACAACATTTGGATAAACATTACCCTATGAAACATAAAACCTGAGAGATATTTTGGGAGACATTGTTTTTGAAGGTGTGCGGAGGATTTTAAATACCATCGACTATAATTATTTATAATCTGAATGAAATATAAGTAATTTTCCATCCATAAGAGTCATTATCATTCCGCAAGTTATTTGGACCACTAAACTAATTCTTTTTGTTACTTTTGTTGTTACTATAATGTTTCAAACATTCTAGAGTTTTCTTCATGGTTTATATTCCATGTGGTTGTCACTGTAATGTTTTATTCTTAACAGTTTCTGTTGAAAACTGTTGTAAATGTTTATTACTAATGGAGAGTGAGAACATGACTAAATGGACAAAAAATTCATGTCTTTACCAAAAATTTTTGCTTTGTTGTTGTTCAGTGCTGTTGAGTATTAACAACTTGCATTAGTTTTACCTGTGTTAGTTTTATAGACTGCCAGAAAATAAGGTGCTGTTGACTTTTCTTACTTTTTAAAAATATTATATATAAAAAAAAATAAAAACCGTAAGAACCTCCATTGGGAAGATTAAAACAAGAAACAACATTTAAAGAAACATGATTCAATTGAGTTAATGTTGGGGAAGAATAACAACACAAGTTAACAACTTGTTTAATTTTAATAAATCGCTTACAGTTGCTTTGTTATAAGATATACTTAATTCACATGTATCAAACATAATATCAGGTCTAGTGTTGACCAATTAGGGTTTAGTAATCAACATTTTTTTAGATTTAGACAGTTCACTAATTTTCTATGCAGCCACAACTATGCTGACAACAACTTAATAAGCTTTTCAGGATTAGGGTAGCAAAACTGTTTCTGTAATTTACTGGCTCTTTTCTGAGCATTACTGATTTTATAGGACAACACAATTATATCCTTAGAAACCCCTCACCTTGTCAAGAATGGTGAGATAAGAAACAACAAGAAATGCTAATTTGAAGTTTTAGATTGCAGTTTAAGCATTTTCTTCCTCATGATTAAGATACAAAATCATTAAAAGTAAATATGCTACTTTCAGTAACGTCAATAATTATGTCAAATTTCCAAATCTAACAGCAAGAAGTGATTTTTTTTAGATGGCATCATTACTAAAAATAAGTGTCAAAGCAGAGGAATATTCCATAATTAAATATTTTGGGGGTAAACACTACACAGCAACTTGCAGCCTGAGAAGAGTGTCCATAGAGGAGCTATGGGTTGCTACTAGTAGATATTGATTTAGAATATAGTGAAATATGAAAAATTAAAAGACAGCAAGTGTTAATAAGTAAATTGTTTGGTGCTAAAGTAGTTTCAATGAAAATCACCA